CCTGTATATAATAGAATAGAAATGCAGGGTTTCCCCTACATGTAATTGATCATGGCACTCAGCCACGGCTAAATAAAAGCCACCACACCTTCAGAAAGTTTTTTTTACCATTGTAAAGCAGGGGCTGATGCAACCATTGTTTAGGTTGTCCGAGACAATTTTCGCTTCGAACAACCAGATCCCGCCTCCCGGTTGTCCAGTGGACAACCAAGAAAAAAGACCTCGATTAAAGTTTTCCGCAGCCGGTGTTCATCGTTGTAAAAATGAACAGGAGAAAAAAAAAACTTGTTAAAACCGTCTAGGGATTACACTTACGGTTCTTTCACCCAATAAAGAGAACCACAGTCAAAGTTTTACTCAATCAGAACAGAGCAGGATGGGACGTGCCGTCTGACAGGCAGCGCTGCCTTTTCTTTTCTTTCTCTGTGGGTGTGGGGTCAGCTTCCCTCAGCTCAGGTGAACACCTCCCTGGAAAGCCCTCAGCGTTTCCTGGACTATTTTCCACTGAAGATTACATAGTATTTTATATATATTATATTTCTAAAAGCACCTCGCAGCATTTCCACTGGAACACCTTGTGTTCACGAGCACAACAAAACCGTGACAGATCACCTGACTGAGGGGCAGCGACTTACAGCAGCTGAACCTGTCCACGCACACCGCAGCCCCCACCTGCCCGAGACTTCAGAGTCCACATGTCAACCCCTTCAGACATTTACGTGTATAATTAGCATCAAAAGTCCATAATTTGCGCAAAAAAAATCTGTATTAGTCACACTCGGGTGTTGTGTTTGTAATTAATTATAAGAATCAGTAAAAATAAATGATTTTTTTTCCCTCTGCTATAATTTTTTTAAACTAAATACAGTATATCAAAGCTCCTCAGTTGAAAACACTAAAATGATAGAAGAGGTGTTTAAAAACCTCTTTCCTCAGAAATTCTTCAGTCCTAAGAACACTAAACTGTAACGTTTAATAAGGTCATGTACACAGTATACACCTATTTAAATGAAAATGTTTGAGCTGTAAGCAGAAAGCTTGTGGATGTTGATTTTTGCTCTCAAAGAAGAGGATGAGGAGGAAGTGTTACTCAAGGAGCTCCTGAAACCTGCTGACTGAGAACATTTGTATATAGTAAACTTTGTATACAGGACAACTTATTAAATTACATTCTATAGAGATTTTTTGCAGACAACCAGATTTTGACAACCTGTTGTCCTGTTACACCACCCCACCCACCCACGCATGAGGCCACCACAGTAAAAAAAAATCCTAGGGGAAACCCTGAAATGTGTTACATTTTCTCACTTTAGTTGGGTGGAACCAGTTGGCAAAGCTTTTTAAAAATTATTTTAGGTCTGAGGTGACTGCCGCAACAAAATATCCTTAAAAAACACAAATACCTCAACCCATTTTACAGATATTGAGCCAAATAATGGCATGGTAGTAGCTGAGCATCATCCCCAAAACATACTCTGAAAGCTACACGTCATATAAATTTTTTTTCTTAAAACTTTGGCATTAAGCCAACCATGTTTGTTAGCAATATTCTTTATGAACCACAGGACAGAATTGATTGAAACTCTCAAAGAAGTATTAACTTGATGCATATTTACTATTTAACTTTTGAAGGGACCTCAACTCAAATGGCCACCACAGCTAATTAACCTTTTCCAAAAAAAAAAAAAAAACATTGCTAAAACTCAGGTTATTGCACAGATTTTGAGCTAAATTTGGTGTTGACGCAGCTGAGACTCATGCTCAACACATACACTAATACAATCTCATGAGGTCTCACAAAGAATAATCCTGGTTTAAAACTCTGGCATGAAAGGCAGTGGGTGAGATACATCCATTTAAGAGATGTTGGACCAGAATAATTGTATCATTAACAAAGGCAGATACACTGACCGCTGCATGCTTTGCTTGGTGCACAGAGAACTCCAAGGTCTTTGCATGAGATGAAAGACTTGCATTTGAATGGCTGTTGGATTTAACATTACTGCTCTGATCTGCTTGGTGCCTTTTTATTATGCACTTAAGATAAATGTCARACGTTAACAGTGGAAAACCCCTTACTATGTGAATGCTGCTGTAGCAATTACACACACTGACATTGACAAAGATGTCTGTGTGTGTCAGTAAGTTTGACCACTACCTTTTGACCAAAGTTCATGATAATTGGTTGTTGGTTGGTCCCTAACATTACAGTACACTATAACAATCATAACACTATAACAGTCAGAAAATGTATTTTAGATTTAAAYAGATCAGCTGATTGAGTTTAAAATCAAAGCATTTACTGCCACTTTCATTTGTTCAAGTAAGTTTTCCACCGAAGTTCTAATGAAGTTTCGTGTTTTAGCATACGTGACATTTCATTATTATATTTTAGGGAACTATTTGGTATTAGTAAGATTGTATAATCAATCTGA